GTATTTTGTGTTGATCCATCAACTTGGTTCAACTACAGTAGTTAGTTGGAATATAGTTAGAAAATATCCTGTCTTGTAGTAGTTAAAAGATTCATATACAAATTCTTCGACATCTATCTTTGTCTCCTCCGTCTCTCCGGGATGAGCTCCCTCATTGTGTGTGTTTGATGGCCACACGACAATTGCGAGGTGTTACGCCAGTGCGCACAACCTCGTTTGGGTAACAAGATACGTGTTGTGCCAGTACAAGGCCAGTGTAAGGTGATCAAATATAAGACCCGTTTAGTTCCCTGATTCAAATTTTTAATTCGAGTTGAGATATAACTTTATGTGAGAACTTTTTACTATAGCAAAAAAATTAGTTATGACTATTTCTGAGAGCTTTTTACTGTAGTAAAACTCAAATTCTAAACTCAAATAGGTGAAATAAACACATAATTTCTTTCATTCTTATCCGACTCTTGAAAAACATCCAATTAGGTTTGACCAAGATAAATTGTGATTGCGAAAAATTCCGGCAGGATTTGGAAAGAAATGGAACTGACCAAAATTAGCTTTCTTTATCCCGTCAAAAAAAAAAAATTAGAAATTGGTCCACTCCGGTAGGTCACCTACTAGGTGACTTCGGTGAGACCTAGTGGCTAGTAACAACCTGTTTAAGTGGTAGCATGTCACCCACTGTGGGGTGAATCCTAGTATTGGTGCTGGTTATCTTAGGGACCCTAGAATTTAAACTCTGAATGGGTAAATAGGTAGGCTATGGGGGTAATTCTCCCGATTCTCTAGCTTCAACTCCGTCCCAAATTAAGTGAGTATAGAGGTGGGTATGAGAGACAAAACAAAAGTTAGATGTGAGGGAAGGACGAAATATACCCGCTCCCGTCCTGTCCCATTGTCATCCTTACTTGTCATCTAGGAACATCAACTACTATTGTCTATTGGCTACTTCATTTTACTATAGGGTTAGTACATGGTCATAGTAAAAAGATAATGAAAACATTAGATCAAAATAGTAGTTTAAATATAATAATGCTGGAAAAATCGTTTGAGCTTTGCATGGTAGTTATTGTGGATAGCTCAATATCACTATTTTCACAATTTTGAGTCCAATGTGGATCTAATAAAAAATGAAAAAATTTAGAAATTCCTTCTCTGTCGAAAATTTAGAGAAAATTTTGAGTTTTTTTTTTTTTTTTTTTTTTTTTTTTTAAATTTTAAGTTTTTTTGAATGTTTTTTGGGTTTTTTTTTTTTTTTTTTTTTTCATATCAATATTAAGTTGTTTTGAATGTGATTTGGTCTTTTTTTTTTTTTTTTTTCAGTCGTAACCCTAAAATTCGTGTCTTTTTCAATTCTTTCATCATTATACTACGTTTATATAAAGAAAACCGTCCTATTCCTGCTATGTGGTCAGCAAATTTGGTCATTACTTATTTGTTTTTGTCACCCAAATAAGACAAAGTATTAAACTATATACTTATACGTGTATATACACTTATGCAGAGTGAGGCAGTTTGTTTTTAAGTTTCTTTATTTAATGCGCTTTAGAGTAATACATCAAAAATAAAAAAAAAATAAAAAAGGCAACCGAGAAAAATGTGCCTTTTCTATTGTGTAAAATCATATACCTCGCCTTATACACCCAAAATAATAATAATCACTTACCTGTAAATTAAAGATCCTTATATGGTAAGACCTCAAATAAATATTGTGCACTTTTAACTATTAAATATAATCAAAATCACATCATAAATAAAAAAAAGTGAAATAGACTATTTAAAATACATATTTGACAGAAATATGCATAAAATTTGAGAACAAACCACACGTTCATAACAAGATCTAAAATATGTAGTTTAGATATTTTTTTTAAAACTTTTTTTTTCATAAGTTTCATGTCGTGTTGTAGTTAGATAAGTCTAATATGAAATTGACTCATTATTTTTGCGTCAATTTTATGTCAATCCAAATTTGACACACCATTTTTTAATTCTAATCCAAAAAATTTGTGTTGTTTTCGAATCATAATGCAATATCATGACTCTTGTCGACCCTACCTATTAGGACGTGTAACATCATTATACTGCGATTATGGAAAGAAAAAGATCTTGATGGACGTCAACAAATTTGGTCATTACTATTTGCTTATGTAATGCAGAAAATAACCTAGTAGTCCCCAATTTAGAACTAGAAAGATTTGATCCTTTAAATTTAGAACTTACTGAGCAAATTCAAAAAGCTATTAGCTAGGGAAAAACCAGATTTTGACAAACTTTTAGATATTGCTAAAAAAACAAGCGTCATAGGAAGCAACCCCATAGTACATTCGGATAAAAATGAAGAATTAGCAGAAATCAAGGTCATAAACCCAGACTTGACAATAAGAACATGAGAAATAAATACACTCCTCAAGATAAAAATGAATTTGAAATTTAGATTGGAGAACTATCTTAGGGTAATAAGACGCAGTTGCAGTCCTCAAAGATCATCAGCATTTATAGTTAGAAATCATTCAGAAATAGTTAGAGGAAAGGCTAGAATGGTAATTAAATATAAAAGATTAAAAATGATAATACATGTTCAGACGGATACAAAATCCCAACTAAAGAAGTAGAACTACTTATCAATAGAATTCAGAAAGCTAGAATATTTTCTAAGTTTGACTGCAAGAACAAAATATTAAAACATATTTTTTAATGATTAATATATGTAGATAGTATACATATGTATGGAGAGATAAGAGAGTGAGTTTGTTTTTCTCTTAATGCAATTGAGAATAATTCAGAAAAAATAAAAAAATAAAAAAGACAACTAAGAATAAGGTGCCGTGTATTGTGTAAAAGTATGGCTGTTCATGAGTTAGGTTGGTGTGGAGTAGGAATTTTTTTTTCTCCACCTCAAAGGGTGCGGGTTGTACATATTTAGCCTCAACGATGTTAGAAAAACTTCACAACCCAATGATGTTTGGGTTGGGTTCGGGCGGTGCAAGGTATGTTGGGTGGTCGGTTTCAACATTCAAAGAATCAAAAACTCAAAGCTCAATCCAACATCAAACATGAAGCAAAGTAGTCCATCCAACATCAAACATAAAGCAAACATAAATTAGTCTACACTCATTAATTAGTCTTAACATAAAGCAAATATAGATGCTTAATTCAAACATGAACAAATTAGAGAGTAGAATGAGTTGTCTACCTAGGGTTAGATATTAGAGGAGGAAAGTTAGAATGCGAGTTGGGTTAGGGTGTGCGGGTCATCATAGGTCCAACCCACACCCCGCCTCAAAACTTTGGGTCAGACATTGAATTGGCCGCAAAAAAAAATTTTAATATTAGAAATTACATTTTTCAGGTTAGGTTAGAGTGGGGTGGGCTGGGCCTGCGAGTTTTGCGGGTTTTTGAACAACTCTATGTAAAAGACACCAAGCTTACCTTATAAACAAAATAGTAATAATCACTTGCCTCTAATGTAAAATGGTTTTACATGATTTTAATATTTTCTCTTCGTTAGTGTATTAGTCATTAGTGTTAGGGGTGTTCAACAAATCCACCAAATCCTAAAAATCGTCCAATTCAAACCAAATCGAACCGAACCAAATCGTTAATTATTTTTAAATTATTGGGTGGTTTGGTTAATTTTTTAATCTAATTTTTTGGCTGTTTAATATGTGATTTGGACTCTCCAAACCGCCCAAACTACCGAATAATCCGCCAAAAAATATACATCTATAATTTTTAAAATGTTTTTTATATCTATTTTAATTTTTATTAGTCATAATAAAGGTTCTATACTTATAAAATACACCCTATCATATAGTTGTTGGTTTGTATAAAAACTACAAATAGTGAATTGTAAGGCATTTGTTATTTTTTAATTATATTATGAACTTGAATCTTATTTTTATTTTTACTGATTAACGATTTTATAATTTTTCCTGAATTATTGAAAAAAATTTTAATCTTAAATTTAAACTACCCAAATTACTTATGAATGATTTGGATCAATTTAATTTTTATTAAAAATATCAAACCGTTCAAAAGAATATTTTATTTTTAGTTTGTGGTTTTTATAAGAGAATTGTCCAAACCAACGCAAACACCACTAATTATTGTGGACTTGCCCGCTGAACATTTCTTCAATATAAAACAAAGATGTTGACTTTCGCCGGGAAACACAACTTAAAATTCCGTTCATTTTACCGATTCGAGTTTAGAATTCAAGTTTTACTACAGTGAAAAGTTCTCAGAAAAAATTACATCTAACTTTTTTACTACAGTAAAAGTTTTCACATAAAGTCAAATCTCAACTCGAATTAAAAACTCGAATCAACAAACTAAACAGATCCTAAATCTCTTCGTTTTGTTGGCATGGAATGAGTCAGATTTTTTATCTAATTTTTAGTATTTCAATTAGTGTTTAACAAATCAAATTATATTATATCATCTTAAATTAAAAATTAAAAAGCAGATTAAATTTTTACATGTCGTGTCATAATGGAAAGCCTCTTACCTCTCGGGGTGCGTTTGGTTACAGTGGAAGAATGGTAATGGGAATGGGAATGAGAATGGTAATAAGAATAGAATAGAAAAGAAAGTTGATTTATTTGTTTGGTTACAATTTTAAGAATTCTCTGGAATGAAATATGAATATTTTCATGTTGACAAACTTACCCTTATGCTATATATAACACTAATATTTTATTTATTAATATAATATATAAAATGTAATATAATATAATAAAATTATTATTATATAATATATTATATAATTATGATATGTAATATAATAATATTATTAAAATTATTAATATAATTATAATATTATAAAATATATTATGAGATTATATTTCTTTTGAATGATCATTTTTTTTAAATCTAACCAAAAATTAAATTAGTATTTCATTCCATTCTCTTCTGTTCATTTCTACGCAACTAAACACACCTCAGGTTCTTTCTCTTTATAGGTTCACACTTTTGACTTTTCCCTATCTCGTGGGTTTTTCATTTTTTTTTTTTCCAACGAAGGTATTAATAAGATTCAAAGAGGATCTAATGCCAGAGATTCAGATTCCTATTAAAAGAAAAAGTACCCAATATTCGTATCTCCTTCGGCCTTCTAATTCATCTCCTCCCTCTCTCTCTCCCCCTTTCTCTCTCCTTATTAATTCATTCATGCTAAACTTACTTATTTGTTCATTCTAATACTCTGTTTTTGATGGTTATTGTAATACTCTGTTTTATATTCCAAGCCATAGTACTCTGTTTCTGTCTTTCGCTGTTGATTAAAGTTGCTAATGTAATCGATTTTTATGCCCTTTTCTTGTTTATATTTCATTATTGATTATACTTGATTGACTTTACATATTTGAATTTTTAATTAAAGTTGAGATATGATTTTATTTAAGAACGGATGAGAAAAAATTAGTTATTAACATGATTTTCACGTGGCTTGAAATAATATTAATATTTCTTCCTCAGATTTAAACCAAATTAGGTGTAATAATTTGGCATTTGTTTATAGCTGATTATTGAAAGAGAGCAGTCATGGCGAACCTTGAAGAAAATGGACCTCCGGCAAGGCTTGAGGTTTGTGATTCATCTTTTGCTTATTTCAATTTGGAATGAACTGTTTGTTATTGTTAAAGCTAAAGCCCATTAAATTAAAAAAAAAAAAACAAAAAACAAAAAACAAAAAAACAAAAAAAAACAAAAAGTATCGTATTTGTTGTTGAATAATAGATTTGAATTTTTTTTTTTTGGTTATAGGGGAAATATGCTGCAATAGTAGTGTGCTGGCTTCTGGGAAATGGGTGCCTCTTTTCATGGAACAGTATGCTAACTATTGAAGATTACTACGGTGAATTGTTCCCGGTTAAGTATTTCTAAAGACTCTTTTTTCAGATTTTTTTTTACCCGGTCATTTAAAGCGTGTGATAATCAATTTTCTCTATGAAATTCCGAACATTTCGAGAATTCATGCATAACTGAGAACTGATTTGTCTAATTGATTGAATTCTATGTTTAGTTTTCTTATGTTGTGATGTTTCATTCATGGAGTGTTCTTTAATAGGGTATAAACCAGTTTTAGGCCCTCAGATCTATATTAGGTTTAGTATTTGCATATTATTGTGGTTCTGATATGATTTTATTGTGTTGTGATGATCCAAAAATAGTCGTATTGGTACGATAATTTTTTTGTACCCACCAACAGAATTCTCATTCATTTTTAGGGCCATCAGGCATGATTTTTTTTTTCTATGCTCATCAATTTATTATGTTTTTGAATCTCCTTTGTTTTCCTGATCATGATGCAGCATTACCATTCCTCAAGGGTCCTAACTCTGGTGTACCAGCCATTTGCGCTTGGAACACTAGCTATACTCGCCTATAATGAGGCGAAAATTAATACTAGGTTGCGCAACCTGTCTGGATACTTCCTCTTTTTCCTAGGTTCTCTTTTGGTTTTAGTTGTAAGTTTTGTTAATTCTACTCACTGATATAAGACATTTATTTAAGTGCCCTTAACTTCGTTTGTCCTCTAATACAAATTCCTGTTCTCCTTATGGTAGTTGGATTTAGCAACATCCGGGAAAGGAGGGCTCGGAACTTTTATTGGAATTTGTGCTTTAAGTGGTTTGTTTGGAGTTGCAGATGCTCATGTTCAGGGTGGAATGATTGGTGACCTTTCCTTCACGCGACCTCAACTTATTCAAGTTAGTTATAGTATCACTGTTCTTTGCATTTTTGCATACTAATTTTTCCTGCATTTTAGTCTCTTCTTGGTTATAGCTTTTTTCTTCTCAACTGTTGATCCTTCTCTTGGTTTGAAATTCTCCAGTCTTACCTGGCTGGTATGGCTGCATCGGGAGCTCTTACTTCTGCTTTGAGGTTAATTACAAAGGCAGCATTTGAAAATTCCAAGGATGGTCTTCGAAAAGGAGCCAGTATGTTTAATTCTCCCAGTTTTTGTCATTTGCAACACTTCTTATTACTTATTATTGCCACTACAGTTTTATAATTGTCTAAGAAGATTAAATGCAATGTCATATGTCATGATAGGGGTACTCCGGGAGGTAAAAATGTGAATTAACTTGATGTCATCCTTTCTTTTACTTTTGTTTGCCTTCCCTAGTGCATTAATTCTGTGTTCTTAGGCTTGTTAGCAAACTTATTGTAATAGACAGAAAAGTTACATCTAGTAGGGCTTTCCGCAGTTTATTCACTTACTTCTCGTTGCTATTCACCGTCCAATTGCAGTTTTATTCTTGGCAATCTCCGTAGTTTTCGAGCTTCTATGTGTTATTCTGTACGCATATATATTTCCAAAATTGCCAGTCATCAAATATTACCGCTCCAAAGCATCCTCAGAAGGATCGAAAACTGTTTCTGCCGACCTTGCCGCTGCTGGCATCCACACATTACATGAAGAAGTATGTCCACTTGATACACTCTTAGAATCTAAAAACAGGAGTTAACTCGATGATAACAGAACATTACGCAATTGTTGCAGGCTGAGGAAGATCTGAAGAAACACGAGCGACTGGGAAACAAAGAATTGTTGCTGCAGAACATTGATTATGCGGTTGACATGTTCCTTATCTATGCACTGACATTGTCAATTTTTCCTGGATTTTTATCAGAGGACACCGGATCACATAGTCTGGGCACCTGGTTCGTATCGTTGTAACTATACTTTGGAATTCCTCTTCAGCAATTACCAAGACATGTATGCAATCTTGTGATGAAAATTTGGTGAAAATATTAGGTATGCCCTCGTGTTAATTGCAATGTACAATGTGTGGGATCTAATTGGAAGATACATTCCACTCTTGAAGTTTCTGAAGTTGGAGTCTAGGAAAGGGCTTGTGATAGCAATTCTTTCTCGTTTCTTGCTCGTCCCGGCATTCTATTTCACTGCCAAGTATGGTGACCAAGGCTGGATGATAATGCTCACATCCTTCTTGGGTCTATCAAATGGTTACCTCACTGTCTGTGTCCTCACTTCTGCCCCCAAAGGTTACAAGGTCGGTTAAAATCACAAACAATGCTATAAGACACTGTTGCTGTTGAGCACCGCATGCTAATAAAAGATGGGTCTCACAGTATGGGACATAATCTTCTATTAATCATGGTGTTTAGTGCCCGTGGTGCCTTCAAACAATTTTCATATATTACTGCATAATACTTCCAAAGTTGAATCTCTTGGACCATTTTATGTACTTAAAGCAAGTATTGGGTTTTGGTTTTTTTGTAGGGGCCAGAGCAAAATGCGTTGGGAAATCTGCTGGTATTGTTTTTACTTGGAGGCATATTTGCAGGCGTAACGCTTGACTGGTTGTGGCTAATAGGGAAGGGCTGGTGAGCGTTTTTTATTTTATTTTATTTTTATTGTTTTACGTTTATAATATTCAGTTTGATTTGTAAATGATGGCAAAAAGGAAATATTGAGACGTCGTATATTAAGATTGCCCCTCATTACTCCCTCTATTCCAAGACTGAATTTGTGTTCGTTGCCGTATTGTTGTTTCATCTCATTTTAGCAGTGTTGTGAAACGATTGAAATCATTCATCAGCGAACTAAAATTTTAAATCTAAAACTTATGGGAAACTCGTATAATGGGCCCAGAATTTGCAAAAGGAATCCATTTGGGAATGCACAGTTCAGATACACAAGTGTTTAATATCTTGTTAAGGATTAGACTACAAGAATCTTAACGTTCATCCTTCAATAATCAAATTAACTCTCATTTTCATTACCAATAAATCTTGGCTCCACGGGTTAAGAGAACTACGATACGACAAACATTCATCCGCGATTCTCTCCTTTGAACATGTGAAATTTAACGCATAAAATAGTTATCATTTCACACCAAATAATGTATAAACTAGTCCAGTTTATACTTGTCTGATGCAAATAATCGTGAAAATTTCATTTTAATACATTGTTATATCGAAATATGAGTTTGATATTTTTTATTTTTAAAAATTTTACGTCAGTACTTTAAATTTTTTTAATACCTCAGAATTTTTTTTTACGACACGAAAAGATAAAATTACCCTTCTTATAAAATATAATTTTAAGCTGAACTATGAGAAAAACTTTCAATAGAATCTCTTAAAAAAAATTCCCTCAAAATTCTAATCTCTTTAGTTTTTTTTTTCCTCCTCAAAATTTTGATCAATATTATATTTTATAAGGAGAATAATTTTATATTTTTGTGTCTTAAAAAGAACTTCGAGATACTAAATTTTTTTTTTTAAAAGTCAAGATATCGATATAAAATTTTAAAAAAAAAATATCAAACCCATATCTTAATTAACAAAAACACTAAAAATAAAATTTTGCTCAAATAATATCATGTTGAAGGGCTATTAAAATAAACAATTAAACCTTGTTTCGTTCCTCCCAAATTTTTCAAGTGACGATGCGACAAACATACTCAGTCCTCGGGAGTTGCTTGTACTGTTGCTTCAACCAATGAAACTTGTTTATCTTGTCATTTGGCAGTGAAAAGCTTAAAAGCTTCCCAGCAATAGTCAACTAAACAATTGTACGTTTGGTCCCAACGAGCGAAATTGTAATTTGAATAACGAGTCAAATTGTAATTTGAATAAAATTAGAGTAAAATTAAATAAAATTAAAACTTAAAAAAATGTGAATTTAAATAAAATTATAATTTGAATTTAAATTTTTTTATTGCAAAAAACAACCTGGTCTTTAACCAGAAACAAACAATAACCCACTAACCACCACTCTTTTACGTATCATGATTGAAACGTTAACGTTAGTATAAAATAAAAAAATAATAAAAAAACTTCCTATCATTGGCAAAAACAGGATTCAAATATGTGGGTGTTGTGGTAATTAAATTGTGCAAAATATGAGACGAAATTGGTTTTTTTTTTTTTTTTTTTCCCCTCAAAAGAATTATGAACTTGTATTCCAATTATCCACCCTACAATACGAAAGTGAAAGAAACGAGCTGAGATTTACAATGGGTAAAAATAGACAAAAACAACCCAATTAGCTCGTTTTGTCTACTAGCATCACGTGACCCGGCAGAGACGACCAAAAATACAGATAGGCCCCACGTGATACGGCCTCAAACAAACAGGGACACCAAAATGATTAGGGGCAGAAAGGGAAACAAAAAAGTGGACAGCGATGATGAGGCTTGGGCCTTCTCGAACTGCAGGGAATCGACGGCGAGAGGCATGTTCTCCTGGTCAGGGCTGCACCGGGACTGGTGGGGTGGGTGCGCACTGTACATTATGGCGCGCAATACAGCCGAGACGGTCGGTATGTACGCCGTCTTGTTTCGGGCGAGAAGCCACGTCAGCCCCATGAGCTGGCAGTCCCTGTTGAACATCTTGCTCGCTCTTTCACTTTGGGAATTCTCCGTTCCGTTCTTGAATCCTCCCTTTAGCTATGAATTGTGATTGTCATTTAAACCAACAAAAAAGAAGAAAAAAATAGTAAATACCAATTTCTTAGAAAGAAAATGTTGAATTTCCTTGCAATATCCATAAATTCTTCCTAGTTTTACTTCCTCTAATGACGACCCATCACTATAGTCGAAGAAATTGGGACCACATTTTCTTAACAGTGTTTCATAAACTGAAAAGAATAAAAAATAAATAAAAAATATTTTCTGACCCAATGCTATTTGTCACCAGGTTACATCTAAATAAATTCCCAAACCCAACCATATAACAAATGCACCTTTTTTTTTTTTTCAAAATTTTTAAGTGGAACAAAATGGAGAAAAGAAAAAATGAAGGTATGATTAAATAGACCTTGCAAGTTGTAACAATGCATGTTTGCATGAGAACCGAGAATGCAGGGGAAAAAAAAAAAAAAAAAAAAAAAGATCTTTAATTGTAAAATGCAAAAAGTGGAGTTACCTTTTGGAGGGCACCCAAACATCTAGTACAGCCAGAGTAAGAAGAGTTCCGGCAGTTTCTCTCCAAGTTCCTGACGGCGGCGGTGGGAGTGGCGTTATGAAAACCGGAGACATTAAACGCCGCCGGACAGCTGAGGGAGGTAATCTGATGGAGCCTAATCCCGCAGAAGCAGAGAATGGCGTCGCAGCTCGCATTGGGCTGCGGAATCCGAATGTTCCGACTCAGAAGCGAGCTCTGCAGAGAGTTTACGCACTTCTGCGAGTCGTCCGGCATCATAGGAAGATCTCCTCCTCCTTCCGACACGGACGGAGACGGAGCCGCCGCCGGAGAGACCTCGAGAGCGGAGCGCGCGTGGGCGGCGAAGAGCCAGGCAGCGAGAACGGGGCAGCAGCGGCTCCGGTCGAGGTCTCGGCCGCAGGCCTCCTTGACGCCGCCGAAGAGCTCGTCGGAGAGGTCGAGGCGGCAGATTTGGGCCTGGGTCTGGACCGGGAAGGCCGGTACGGTGTTTGGGCTTGCGTACTCCCCGGGCTTTAAGGGCTGGTTTTGGCCCGTCGCTGGCTCGGCGAGAAGGTTGGCCAATGACTGTTGGAGGAAGCTTAAGGAGAGGAGAACGATGAGGAAGGTCATTAAAAGGGAAGTGAATGAGAAGAGCATTGTGACTTGTGGGAGATAATGATGAAGTTTGTGACTTGTGTGTTTGATTTTGAGATGAATGATGAAAGTGAAAAGGGTGGACCTTGGAGATACGAGATACTCAAAGCAATTACTCACTTCCCAAAAATCCAAATGACGAACTTTGAACAAAGAAATAATGGAAGAGCACTCTCCAGAAAAGGTGATTGTCAAAGGAAAAGAAGGGTGGACTTAGAGAGCTCTCTTGAGATTTATGCGGACAGCAAATTAAAGAAACGCTCCAAATTCACGAAGCTAAGTAAGGACTAATCAATTTTTACATTTTTTTTTTCCTTTCTGGTGAAAGTAGGAAAAGGAAACGGGTGATAGGACTATAGTAGGGGGTCCAATGGGGAACAGAAGAGATTCGTTTGGTGGGAAGAGAGAGAGAGAGAGAGAGAGAGAGAGAATGGAGTGGAGTGGGTTTGCATGATAAGAATTGCGAAAGAGCTGTCTGTCTAGGGATTTGGCAGCTTCTGCCGTCCTTTTCCTTTTCATTCTCCGTTTTTCCCTCAGAAGTGCTGATTATTGGAAAAGTGCCTTCTTTTTGGAGCATTTCTTCCCTACTTCCGTTTGCTTCCTAATTCTGCTACTCGCCTCTACTCATGCCAAGTAATTTCCATCTGTTTTTTTTTAAGGGAAAAAAAGTCGAACCAACTCTTGTATGTGGTGGGTCTAGCATTTTGAAAATAATTGGAACGGACCCGTAACATCATCAATAATTTAATCACCTATTAAAGTCTCCGCTTGCTTATAAAAAATAAATTTAAAAAAAAATTCACTTATTAGAGTCAAAATTTTGTGCTATTTCCCTATTTCTTAGGTTAGGAATGCAGCTAGGTTTCACGAGTATATATCATTTCTCTTGATTACAAACTATTGTAATTGTTTCGAATCAGTTATTTGTTTCTTCATTTTCTTAATGCACGTACAAATTAACAATCTACTACTACGTTTCTTATGTTGAATTCACTTTTGCTATTAGGTTATCCCATACATCGCAGGCAATAAAGATTAGTGAAAATTGGGTCTTGTTCTTTTAACAACTCAAATCACAACTCAATTTCGTTTGCTACAATGCTCTTTCTTATAAAAATTTAAATTCAACTCTTTTATTACAGTATTTTTCTCTCACATAAACAGCTCAAATTCTCAAACAAAAATGCTATGAATTTCTAATCCTCTCTCTATCCTAATCAACTTGGCTAATATATATAGGACCAATGCATGAATAGCATATTACTCTTGACAATGTGTTGGGAACAATTAGAAGAGTTCTTATGGAAGCCTATTATGTCCCATTTGGATTATAGTACCAGAAAGATTTGTCATACGAAAAAAAATACATGAAGGAATATGATTTGGGACACCTGCGGATCATGAGTCGTATACATAGATACATGATTGAGCTCAATGAGGGCCACTTTCATCACTTTGCTACGTGGAAAATGAAATAAACAGTTTTCGTCGTTTCTTGATTTCCCAAACTAACCCTATGCAATATTTCTTATCCCATGATCGGCCAATCACAAGAAAAGTTAGGAAACAAAAAAAAAAAAAAAGGGGGGGGAAAGAAAAGCAAGTTTAGCAAAAGATAAAAGAAAGCAAAGCAAAAGAAAAGAAAATGCTTGGGGAAAAGGAAAGTTACTGCATCGGAATGGGGAGGGCATCCTAGGGATTTTGACAGTTTCTCTGTGGGACTCTTTCGAGCAAAAGTATCTGTATGTCTTAAGCGTGTGGATGTGGATATATACCACTGGGTTAGGTTAGGTTTTTGCCCTTTTTTTTTTTTTTTTTTTTTTTTTTTTGCCCTCTTGGCATTTAGTCAGCGTCAGACAAGAGGCTGTGCATGCTTTTTTTCATTTTCGTCCTTGACAGGTTAACTCAGTCCACTTTCTATGAATTGGCTTCAGACGTTCATATAAAGTAATGTAATTGCTCAGAGAAAAACAGAAAGAGAGAGGGAGAGAAGGGTAGAATTGAATCTGTCACGTGCAATTTCTCAAGCCTAGCTACAAACTGGGCTTTTGCGTTTTTAGGAGAGGGACAGTATATTTGTATTTACTTGATATATAAATATATATGTATCTATATAAAGAAAAGAGATCATCAAGGATTAATAGTATACAAATTTCAAATTAGAAATGGATTCAGTTTGTCTCTTAGTAAGTGCTAAAGCAATCCAATCACACCAAGGTTGAGACCAGTTGTTTATTCTGCTATAATGCATCTTTTTAAATGTTAGATATATTTAAAATCAACTATAATAAAAAAAAAAAGTCTTTAAGATAGGGTCTCACATCAATAATATATGTTTTTAATCGTTCGATTTGATCAAAATTATATTAAGATTGAAAAGTATTCAGAACAAAAAATCTAATGATAAAAAAACCAAAAATCTACTAATAATTTATATTTTCAATCCTATCTTAATAATCTCTACAAAAAATTTATACTAAACTAACAAATTTCATATAGATGTGACAGATTTTTAATAGTGCATAATTTTTTTTTGGGTAGAATATTCATGTTTATTCTATATATATATATATATATATTGTATCTGTTTTTATGAAAAGAGACAAATTAGCAGACGTTAAGGAGGTTCCACAACACTACTATACCATGGAAGAGAAACGAGAGTGTGGACAATATAGAAGGGAAAAGAATAGTCACAACTCACAATAGTGGGAAAGATGCGTGAGTTTATAAGACAAACAAAAAGCGTCAATCAAGCAAACATTATTCCAGCTAAAAGTTCCTTTGGAAAACGCTTTCCCAATATACATTTATTTATTTTAATCTTTTACTTATTATAATAACATTGTTCATCGTTGTCTTTTATAAATTCCTTCTTTTTGGTTTTGGGATGGGTAAACTTTATATTTTGATTTGAATAAAGCCAATGTGCCAAAAGAAGAGGACTTTTAGCCTTTTAGCAATTTTTATTTTTATTTTTATCTTTTATCTTTTTCTTTTTCCATTTTCCTCAACTCATATGCATCGTTCTCGATCAAAGACTATTTGTATATTTAGAAAGTTAGGTTCAAAAGAGAAAGATCATTGGCAATTGAGCTTGATAAAGTATATAATAAAAGAAAATAAAAAGGTATAATCATGGTGTTACAAATTTTAGTTGACCGGCCCTACATCAATAGCCTGGTTAGCAGTTATCACCAATAATGGTGTTACAAATTTGCCATTTAAAAACTTGTTTAAGAGTCTGATAGTAGCACTAAATTATTCGTAAGTTCCAGAAATCGTAGGTGAATTTCTAATTAGTTAAAAATCAATGATAATGAGATAATTTTGCCATGTATTTGTCTAGTTGCCATGAATTTCTAATAACAAACACGCGCGCAATAATTAAATCTTTTTCATTGAAACAGTGAAATGATATATATTTTCTTATTTAAATAAAAATAATAAAATATGAGTACTGTGCTTAAAAAAGATTAATTCATAATACTTACCAATTAGATTCCCTGCGAGCTTTTGTTTCAAAGCCAAAAGCATTGATAAGTAAGCAAGTTCTTTTTATGTGTTGCACGGTTATCCTCATTTTCATGTTTGACTACTCAGCATTATTTATTTATTATGTCATCAAAATTTAAGAATTTAACCACATGATAATAAATAAGAACTAAATCCTAAAATTTTTTTTAAGTAATATTCATAAAGTGTGAAAATTTAATTGAATGGACAACAAACAAGTGACAGAAAAATAAACAACTGATCTTGATTCTTGTTTTACAGATTCTACTAAGGAAAACCAAAGCTTAGAAGAATAGTATATATAACGAATTGTCGTTAAATGTTGACGATGATATTAGAAAATTACATACGCACCAAAAATTGTCTTGATTAATGGAGTTTTTTGACTTTATTATATGCTGAAATTTGTTTAAAACTCAGTTAATACGGGTTTGAGAACTTAGAATACGAAAGGATATCAACAATATTATTAATCTCATTCAAATTTTAAGTATATTTTTGAGTTATCATTTGCCAAAATTCCATTAATCAGATTTAAGCTATCTCGTAAAGTGATATAATGATTATCCTTTTATTTTTAGGTTAGTTAAAGAATACCATTGTATTCTTTTGCTTTCATTAATTGAAGAGAGAAAGATTTAGCTATCTCGTTAATTATTATTATTATTATTAGTGTTCGATGAGGCGTGCCTTTAATTAAAGAGAGAATCAATAGATATTCACTGTAATTGAGAAGATTAGATTATTAGGCCATTATAATCAAACCTATTTTTCTTTTTACTTTTTCTTTTAGTCATCAACAATATTTCTTAAGATGGAATCTGTGTCATTCTAACACTCTGATCAGTACTTGCTCAAAATTGGACGTTGTACACGTATATGTAACGCATCTTAGACGATTCAAATTATTTGTTGCCACAAGAAAACAGAAGAGTTATCTATTGTAATCTTTGATCACTTTGATTTTCTTTGCATATAAATATCAATAGAGCCCACATCGAATAAATGGCTTGTAAAGTTTGAGTCAGGATGAGGCAATATGCTAAAATGATTATCTAATAAAATGAAATTAATAAAATGACCTTCTTTATTTTTTTATGAAAAAAAATCACCTAATTATTTTTTTGTAAAAAATAATTATTTTATAAATAAAAATTATTTTACTAATAAAATTTTTTTATTGAGTTATTTTTACAAAATCCTGCAGTAAGACAATGATTCTTTTCAAGGAAGAACTACGCATCTTGTGAGACTTTTGCTGGTCTTTTCTTTTGTGCATCCTATTGAAATATGTGAGCCTTATAGCTCCCGTATAATCTAATCAATTAATCAAACAAAAGCTCAAATAGTTGAAAATGACATCGGTAGTTTTGACATTATTGGTGAAGATGATTGATACTCTCTTGCCACGCATCATTAGTACCTTTTTATCCAAAACCTCTTCAACTTTTTTTGGTACTGCTCTGAGTACCTAATTTTCATTTAAAAAAAATATATATCAAACGATTTTTTTCCCCTCTCTTCCTTTTTTCTTCTTTTTTTTTTTTTTTTTTTCAACTCACAACGGGATAGCTTGAAAGAACCAATTGTTACCCCCGATCTTCTTTCTAAATAAAGATGCGACTATGAACTTACTTGGGTCCGTGTGCGGGTCCTAGCCCATACTAATATAGTTTACAACCTGGGCTGGTACTAAGTCCAACATATCCCATCAAAATACTTAAACCTATAGGTTAGCCAGGTCCGGTCCGTAGTAAATCACGGGCTATGACGAGTTTAGGTTGTCCCCTGCAGGTCCATAATGGGACGGTCCATCTAGACCAATCTCTTAAAAAAAATGTATATTTGTAAAATATATTTTTTTAAATGTACGTATA